CCCGGACCTTCCTTCCCCACGCCCCTACTCAGTCTCCGCTCCTCTCTTCCAACGCTCTCTTTACGCGCCATTCTCACATCCCGCCCCACCACCCCCGCAGAATCCCCCTCGCCTTCTCGCACCTGACCCCGCTCGAGGCCTGCGCCGCCCTCTCGCGCGGCCTGTCCCGCCCCGTCCGGTACGTCCGCGGGCCCATCCGCATCGCCGTCGCCGTGCCCGCCGGCTACGCGCCGCACCTGGCCGCGCTGGAGGACACGTTGGGCCGCGCGCGGGCGCCCTACTTTGGCCCCGAGCTCGAGAGGGAGTGTCCCGGCGCGGCGAGGGAGCTCTGGGGCGGCTGGAGGGACTTGGAGGAGTATGCGAGGGAGGTGTTTCCGGTGGAGGAGATGGCGAATGGGTTGAGGTGGATGGTGGAGGATGGGGATGGGGAGGGCGAAGAGGGGGAGGAGTGGGAGGAGGGAGAGGAGGGAGAGGCCGAGGCCGAGGCTGAGGGCGGGGGCAATGGCGATGGCGATGGCGAGAGGATGGGAGGAGAGGTTGGGATGGGGGCGGGTGGTGAGGGGGTCGGGATGGGGAAGACGGGCAGGAGAGGCGTGTTCGGCGGAAGTTGCTGAGCGGTGGGTGGGTGGGTGTGGACACCGTGGTGGTTTTGGCGTCGATTTCATGCCGGCTGGGTTGCCCTGGCTTGGGAGCTCGATGACGGCGAGGGGAAGACACGCGTCGCCGACACAACGCCCCTTCTCCGCCCTTCCTTCGACGATTCTTCTTTCGGTCTCTTCGGTTTGTTAATCCAGCCCGTATTTGCGACGATGCATTTTGCAAGGCGTTCTATTCTAAAATTTCGGCCTTTGGGAGGCATGCTGTGCTAGTTCAAGGGACGTACGTCCGCGCGTGTGTGTTTGTAGTCGGCAACATTGGGCTTGGGGAAGTGGGAAAATGCCTTCTGCACGGCGGAAAAGGAAAAGTGCTCTTACGTTGATGTTGTTTGTTGGTTTGGGCGGCTCTGATGTGGGTTCGTGGGCGGGCTGAGTGGACTTTGAGCTTGCATAGTAGCTCAGCGGACCGACCAGAAAATGGGAAATATGGTAGAAATGAGAGCTCCGTAGGATCGTAATGTCAGCGTTTGTCTGGGTTGGTATGGATCTGTTCTGTAGGAGTCGCTTTCTGAGGGGTGACAAGAACGGAGTATAAGTCGTGCTGTGTCTGGGGCTTTAAGCATTTGATCTGGGGCTTTTCGTGCTACGCAGAGTGAAGTGATTGAGGGAGGATCGTGATTCTGGAGTGTATTAGGCCTTCTTTTATGAAACGCTGAAGAGCTATTGAGTGAACCTCAACCCAGCACGTGACATCGGGGCAACGTTCTTAGTCATTCTCGTTTCCCAGCCCGACCCCAGCTCAGCTAGCGAACGCGACCCGGACATCGTCCAGCGAACACTTTCACGGTCACCCATCCCAACGCGCATCGAGGCCGCCCACGACGTACGCAATGGCCTCGATCAGACCGGCGGCGAGGCCATTGGCCAACTGGTCGAACTCTGCGGTGTTCCCTCTTCGCCCGCGATCGACAGCGACAACGAAGAGATTGGCGGCCTGTCAGTATGTGCAGCGGCGCGGGTTGGAATCGGTAGCAGAAACGAGGAGACGGCGTGTAAGAGCTATGCAGGAGGCCATGGGGATTGGTATGTGGTTTTGGGGGAGCGGTCTAGCCTTGGAGGAAGGGGAAGGTTTGGCGCTAATGGAGGGATGGGCTCGGCTTGGATAAGAGGACAAGACGACTTCGACGAGCCCGACGCTGCATCCTCTGTCCATTCTGCCAAGCCGCTTCTTCTTTTCCTGCCTTGGCGCTATACACACGAACCTGGAAGTAAACTAAGCTAACATGGCGATCAGAACCGCACCCTAAAACCCACGCCCGCATAAAGACGTACCCTCCACCCGCCAGTGCCGCCAAGCGCGTCCGCGAGCCCCTCAAATACCTGACCCAGCTGCACACCGCCGAGCTCGACCCTTCCGGCGCGCGCACGCGGCTCTTCGCGCGCGCCAACCCCGAGGCCGCCAAGGTGGGCGACGTGCTCCTGGTGCGGACGCGGGGCGGCGAGCCCTTCGCGGGGGTCCTGCTTAGCGTTCGGCGCCGCGGCGCCGACACGGGCATCCTGCTGCGGAACCACCTCACGCGCGTAGGCGTCGAGATGTGGTACAAGGTGTACTCGCCTAACGTGGAAGCCATCGAGGTGGTGCAGAGAAGGCCCAAGAGGGCGAGGAGGGCTAGGCTCTATTATATGAGGAAGACGAAACATGATATGGGGTCGGTGGAGAATATCGTGAAGAATTATTTCAGGTCGACGATGGTGAGGGCGGCGCCGAGGTCGGCGCAGGGGAAGAAGAAGAATCCGAAGAAGGGGAGGCATTGAGTTGGGAACGATGGATTGGTGGGCTCTAGGGTTTGTGAGATAAAATGAGTTGGGTGTATTATCTTGTACAATATTTGGGAATAGATAACTATTTCACGACATCAGCATCGTCTTACAGGTCAAATAAGCTACGCTCAGTAATACATCTGGGCGTACGTACCCTGCCCTCATTGCCAGCCTCTAATTTCAACCAGCCTATTCAGCCCCTAGTCTCAATACGGATGATATCGTACTTCCGGCTTCTCCTTTTTATGCTTGTGTTTGTGCTTGCGGTCATGTTTCTTTTGCTTCTTTTTACCATCTTCACGGTCGCCAGCCATTTCCATCTCGACATCCCCATCGTCATCAGGCCCAGCTTGATACCCGCCCCACGTTCGCACATACCCGTCCTCTCCGCATGTAAAGATGACTCCCGACTGCACAGATATCAGTAAACAGCATCGCGCAAAACCCAAACAATCCAAAGAACGACAGCAACTTGAACCAAGGGCGACGGAAAAAGTCTCGACTCACGCTCTCATCCACAAGCACATCCCTCACCACCTCCTCCCCATGCGCGCCCTCCAACCTCACCTTTCCTTCCACGCCCAACCCCCAGTCCAAACTACCAGCTTGCGCTGGCGGCGCCCGCAGTGGAATCACGTCGACGTACTGCTGACTGTGGCTCCCCACGACGACGCTGCCCGGCCCACTACCACCTCCCAACCGGCCCGCCGTGATTAGCTTGATGACGTACTCGCACGCCAGCGCCTCCCTCACGTCGCCCAGCCTCCGCGGCGCCGGCGGCTCGGCCGCCTCGTCGGGGTGCTGCGCGCGGTGGAACGACAGCGTCTCGTCAGTGCCTAGGGCGTATAAGTCGGCTGCGAAGGCGGCGGTGGCGGGCAAGCCCGCCGAGGCGGGCGAGGGCGCGAGCGAGGAGGGGAGGAAGCCCGCGTGGTGCAGGGCGGAGCCGTGGTTGACGACTTGGAGGAGGGCGTCGTCTTCGTCGGAGTCCGGGATGGTGGTGTCGAGGAGGTTGAGGAGGCCGTCGGTGCTGGCGGTGAGGAGGGTGGTGCGGTGCGTGGGGTGCAGGGCGAGCTGGTGTGCGGGGCGTGAGTTTGGGTTGGTTGGAGGGAGCGGTGGGGAGGGACGGACCTCGGTGATGGTGTCGTTGTGGCTGTCGGCGTAGGTGCGGACGGGAGTGGACAGTTTGCGAGTGTCCCTTTTGCAGGGGTGTGAGCGCTTAGGTGGTGGTGAGTGATGGATTCTACAAGGGATGAGGTACCAGAGGAATATCGGCGCGTCGCCCGGTGCGTTGCCTTCTAGCTCCATGCCCGCGGCAACTAGGTTGGACGCGGGGCTATATAGCAGTGCTGAGAGGGCGCCCTTTTTGGCTGGAGGAAGGGTTAGCAGGAGATTGTAACATCCGGAGGTATTGCATGATAATGCTTCTTCGCACTAGACAGAGCAAGAAAAAGAACGGAGTCTACAAGAGAGACAGTGCCCACTGAATTGGCATTGCGATTGTTGCAAAGCCACTCAGACCCCGCAATAAATATTTCAGGCGAGTGAAATGAAAAAGAAAAAAAGTGCGATACTCACGACTTTCACACCTCCCTACCTCTCCCAGTCCCCTTCCAGCACTCCCTCTCCAATCCCACCCTCTCACAACGCCGTCCCTCCCCGCGCTCCACAGCAACCCCTGCGCTCGCCCCCCTCCACCACTCTCATCGTCGCCAACCAAACACGTTACCCCCTCGTGTGCGCCACTTCTGACGCCGTCCGGCAGCAGCGCTAGCCCTTCCGGATCGAACAGTCGGATGGAATCGTCGGAGGCAAGCGCCGCTACGGCGGACGCACCGGCAGAGGGACTGCGCAGGGGCACGAGGCGGTAGAGCCAGGTGGAATTGGGAAGGGAAAGTGTTGTGGAGTTGAGGAGGGGTAGGGTTGGTGGTAGACGTGGCATTTTTGGAGACGTTGCGGGAGTTTGTGGATTGGGCTTCAAGGATAACAGGTGGGTGGAGCCTAGGGAATGGAATGTTCAAAGCGGATTGAACGATTTTGGGCGCAGCTGCTAGGGTGTCGTGGTATTTGAAACAATTTTGAAGAGGCGCGAATACGTAGTTTGGCAGGCGCCATGAATGAAGTCCAGTAGGCGCGTTGTGTGTCCTCTATATTGTCAAGAGAAAATGAGTCGGTGGTGAAGTTGAAAATGGTTCGCCTGGGCCAATCAGCAAAGACACTAAAAAATGCGTCCGAGGTTGACGTTCGCCTGCATTTTTGCTAGGTATGGGTGTACCTACTTCTAGTCCGAAAGGCGGTCTAGCAACGTTCTCGGCATTCCATATAATAGAGACGTAGCCAAACTTGGGCTAGACGCTAAGTTGGGCTGCTCTTCTAGCGCAAGGGAATTTTAGAGAGTAGAATAGTAAAGAGGAGAAAGCAAGCTTCCGCAGGAAGGACTACTATGTTGGTGGCACGGAATCCAATTATCTGATTGGCGGGTAGAGTGATATAGGAGCTTAATAGATTCGTTTAAATTTTTGAAATTATATATTATTTAGTTTTGCAAAGCTTAGCAACTGGTTCAAATTGTTGGATCAGCCAATATCCACCATGGCGCAATTGGCGGCGCGCTCGGCTGTTAACCGAGAGGTTCGTGGTTCGAGCCCACGTGGTGGAGGTCATTTGTTTTGATTTTTTTGTCCTTCGACTATGACAAGACTTAAAACCCGTTTTAAGGCTAAGGTTCCCAGGATGTGTTGCCTTGCAACTATCTAGGTATTATACAAGGTCTTTGGAAGCTATCTACACCACATAAAGAAGCTCCACACATCTTTACCCGTCGGTTAGGCAGTTGTACACTTTTCAACTCTGTGTTCATGCGAACGGCCTATCTAGTACTCCAGGGTCCTCTCTAATGCCAGATTTCAAACCTAAATACTCCAGCAGCCCACATATGCATGGCAGAGTCTTCTTAGGATGACAGTTTGAACCCATGTAACCGGGCATAAAGGCAGTCGACAAAACAGCGTTCACCTCCCCGCCTCCTCCACAAAACCCTTCCTAACCGCCTCATCCACTCCCCGGTCTCCCTCCAACCCCTCCACCGCCTCCTCCACAGCCGCCTTCTCCACCTCCGCTTCCGCGCTCCCCTCTCCCTCACCGATCCCCTCCGCAACAGATCCCTCCCCCTCCCCGTCCCCTTCGCCCAAACCTCCCCAAGCCTTCCTGTTCCTCTTCGGCTCCCCCCTCCCGCTCTTCACCTGATAGCCTCTGACCCTCGGACCCTCGGCGCCTATCACACCCTCAGGCCACCCCTCCTCATTGTACGCCTTGGCGAACGCCTCGGCATCCGCCTCGAAGTCGCCGCGCGCGATGCTGGCCCGCACGGAGCGCAGAAAGGCGTCCAGCACGTGCGCGTTGTGCAGCGCGAGCAGGGTCCAGGCCAACATCTCGCGCGCGCGCAGCAGGTGCGCCACGTAGGCGCGGTGGTGCGCGGCGCAGGCGTAGCAGCGGCAGCCGGGCGCGAGCGGGGCGAGAGAGGTCGCGTGCGGCGGGTCGGCGGCGTCGTCCCAGAGGTTGGTGCCGAGGGGGCGCGGCGTCGTCTTCGCCGCTGGGTCGCCGAGGCTAGGGGCGCGCGCGGAGGACGTGAAGGAGAAGTCGAGCGCGATGCCGGCGTCGGTGGCGCGCGAGACGAAGGATGCGGCGAGGAGGTCGGCGCCGTGGGATATGGCGCGGAGGAGGGCGTGTGGGGAGGGGAGTGGGGCGAGGGAGAGGCGAGGGAGGGAGGTCAGCGGAGCGGGCAGCGTGAGGGCATGGTCGTGGTGGTCGGTGGGGGCCGGGCAGGGAGCGAGCACCGACGGGTCGTACAGGGCGAGGCCGGATATACCGGGCGTCGAGGCGTATGAGAAGGGGCTGGCGAGCTCGGCGAGCTCGTCGAGATAGAAGCGCTGCTGGGCGAGCGGGATAGGCAGGACGGGCGCGAATATGGCTGGCGTTGCTGCTAGCGATGGCATTCCAGCCGCACCGCGCGTCCCATCGTCACCACAGCTTGCCGCATGCGCGCCCTCCGCCGCCCGCCGCCCAAGCTCCTCCACCAACCCGCCCACCAGCCTCCCTGTCCGCTCCGCCATCTTCTCCCGCCGCCTTACGCTCACGCGCTCCGCACCAAACGGCACGTCCGCCAGCGCGACGACGACATCTGGCCCCAACCGGCCCACGGCTCGCGCGTAGTCGGCGGCGGCTAGCGAGCGGAACCCTACCGAGGTGTGGATGCCTATGGCCGCGTCGGAGTTGGGGAGCGTGGGCGGGCAGGGCACGGGAGGGAGGCGCCGGGCGGAGAGCACGGTGAGGGCTAGAGATGGTGTGCCGGTGAAGAGGTGGAGGGGAGAGGGGGACGAGGGGCTAGTATGGGAGGCGTGTGAGGTGAGGGCGGAGGAGAGGATCGGAGGTGTGGTTGCGGGTGCTTTTTCTATGACTTGTGGTTGGGAGGTTAGTCGGTTTGTTGTCGTGTCTTTTATTGTGCGTTGGTGCCCGCTATGCGCCCTTCAATTGACGACGAACTCGAGCGCTTGGCCTTGTCGACGATTCTTCGCGAAGGTCGGGTTTGTCTACTCGAGGGACATCGCGACGCGTCACTCACAGTCCTCCAGCCCCATCAGCACGCTCTCAATCCCCGTGTGCCGCTCCACCATGTCCGGGGTCAAGTGCGGCACCACGCCGCGCGACGCGACTGCGATAAAGTTGGGTGTCTCGATGCCCGCGTCGAGGTTGCGGCCGCGGCCTGCTTGCGTGAGGCGTCCGAGGCGAGGACCAATGGTCGCGCCCGCGGCCGCTTTGCGCACCGTGAAGGAGAGCATGCCGTTGTCGCTGGAATCGCGCGAGGCGGGGGAAGGAGAAGGGGTGGTCATATTGGCGGTTGCATGGCGAGAGGGGCCGCGTGAGCAATGTAGGATGGTGGAGGATGATGGTTGAAGAGAAAGAGAACGCGGTTAAGTCAAAGCGCCCAATCAGAAGCGATCGAACGCCTTGACTTTGGCTACTCACTTTCCGAGCACTCACGGGCTTGTTGTCACACTCTAAGTATAGCTATATTAATATTATGTAAAGTGCTCGCTCCCTTGTTATGTTTTCCTCATCGCATCTGTCCCTCTATTACATACTAACTTTACCATGTTGTAACCCACCCGACATCCTCGAGTCTCTGTTCTCAGCTTCCGTCGGTAGTAACAAGCGCACTGAGTGAAATAAATTAAATATCAGCATCTCGACGCCGAGCGCACATTCCAAAGCGCAACGGATAGATCTCTAATTTGACAGTACTCACCCCCAGAAATCTCTTTCCGTAAGTTCCCTCCTACAATCACTCGACTCTAATGGGTCCTCGACATTTCCCGCGCAGTTTCCTGCCGCCTCCAGGCCCAAGGCATGGCAATTCTGAATCTCTGAGTCGGCGTAGAGGGGTGTTTCCTGACCGATCATCTCAGGCGCCTCTACAATGGTAACTTGCATACCAGCTTGAACTACGAGACCTCTCGCATCAGAATATATTTAAAGCAGGCGTGTTGATCCAGGCAGACGTATGAGACTTACGGTGGAATTCCATATGACAGTGAACTGTCCTTTCAATATTAGCCGCCTGTTTACTCACACTACCTGACAGCCCTCCCCCCCGCCTTCAATCCCACACCCAAAAAATGTACGCAAAACTGAAAAAGTTTTCCACTCACAAAGCCACACCCCCGGATTCCCCGCTCGAAACCTCACCACCACCCAACCCCTCGGCGCCACGTTCACCGTATCCCTCCTTATCGGCACCTTGCTCAGCGCCTCCTCATCCCCATCCCACTCCCCCGCCCCCCGTCCGGCGACCTGGAAATGGTGCCCGTGTAGGTGCAGCGGGTGCGGCCCATCGTCGGCGTTGAGGACGGCGATCTGCACGACGGCATTGTGCGGGACCACGAAGGGGCAGACGGCGGGGCCGTAGACGGCGGGGTTCGTGGAGAGGGCGCGGAGGGTGTAAAGGGTGTAAAGGGAAGGGACGAGAGGGGAGACGTAGGGGTGGGGGCAGAGGGAGAAGCTAGGACGCGTAAATTAATGATGGGATGCTTGAAAGGCAGGCTGTCGTCATTGGGGGAGACGCACCGTGGCCCCACGCCGGCGCGGTTCGTGAAGCTGGTCGTTAGCGTGATGTGTTCGTCGACGGGGCCGAGCAGTTCCTCCCCATCAGCCGGGACGAGGTCCATATCGTTGAGCGGGCGGAAGTTTGTCTCGTTCGGGCTGAGAGGCGAGGGGTCGGGAAATTCGGCTGAGTAGGAAACAATGCCGTGGTTGGTGTACAGCTCGGTAGCGTCGGGAGGGGGCTGCTGGCCGCGTGATTGTAGCTCGAGCCGGTCCATGCGCGAGATGAGGGCGTAGTTGCGGGTTGGGTTCGACTTGGTGTGCAGGAGCACGTCGTAGCGTTGGCCGGCGGAGAGGCGGATCGAAGTAGTCTGTGCGGGTTCGACTGGACGCAGATATCAGTTGATTGTATGCGGTGCTCATTTGTTTGTATCCTACCTGGGATACCGTCAATGGCGACCACAGTCACGTCGTGGTCCTCTTGGACTGTTAGTTCGAAGTTGGAAGTGCGTGTCTGCTCGGGCGGGAGGGCAACAAACCGATTCGGAGGAAGTGCGCTGCTAAAGCAGACATGCTGATTACTCTGACAAGGTACGTTTTCCCCGACTCGACCTCAAATCGCGCTGTCCGCGCTTCATTGATCAGACTTGCGTTCGGCACCGGCTCCCTGCCCTCAGTCTCGCCCGTCAAGTACGCATGCAGCAGCCCCGGCATTTCCTCATCATACCTGTTCTCACCAACTCAGTCAGCAACTCACATACACCTCTTCTCTACTAGCCTCAAAAACTCAATAGAACCCACCAATCTGCCACCGTAACCGCCATCTCGCCCTCGACTCCCCATAGCCTCTCCCTCTCCGTGTCCCTCACAACCAACGGCCCCCTCAGTCCATCCGGATACTGCCCCTTATTATGACTATGCCACCAATAGCTCCCCGCGGGTCCCGCCTCGAACACGTATTCGAACTCCCCGCCCGGTGGGATCCCGCACTGCGTCGCGCCGCTCGCGCCGTCCATCTGCGGCGTGCCGACCTGGTGCTGGCCGTGCCAGTGGATCGAGGTCGACTCATTGCCGAGTGAGTTGACGACGCGGATGTGGAGCGTGTCGCCGAGTGCGACGACTAGAATAGGAGGCGGCCAGGCGCCGTTAACGGAGATGAGGGGGCGATGGGATAGGCCGGAGGGTGACGTGTGGAGCCAGGTTAGGTTCCAGGTTTGGGTTATGGAGGCAGAGCGGGCGAGGTGGAGGAGAAGGGAAAAGAGGAGGAGAGCGAAAGTGGGTAATGTGTGCATCGAGATGGCCATGTAGCGACTAGTTTTGGTCCGATAAGCCAATATCGATTGCAGAGGTTCAAGGTGCGAAGTCTGTCTTGAGCGAGTGTGTGAAACGAGTTGTTGGGCGCGGCTGGCTACTATGCCAGTGCGTGTTGTAAGATGCTTTTCCCCTTTTACGTGTTCATTATGCTGAGAATTTATATTAAAATCGAGCACCGGCACTTATTGCCGCTCGCCGTGATACTGTTCCTGCAAGTGTATCAATTCTGTAACTTTGTAAGTCAAG